TTGAGAAAACTTGTTTTAAAAAAGTAAACTGGCTCAAAATCTGTTATATTCGTTCAAGTTAAGAGCTATATCAGATGTATAGAATATCGGAGCATAAGTTTACTATAGATAAGGATCAATTAACTGAAAGTACAAATAACTAAAATAATTGAAGGTGTCTATTGAAACAGCAGACGCTATCATTCTGAGCAGAAGGGTTTGTTGCGGCATCTCGCACTGCGGATCTCAACCACACATTTCTTCCTACGTGGCCTCTCATGAAGACTTCGGTTGCGCGACCACTAAAGCAAGTTAACCCTGGAAATAATTTAAGAGGACGTGAACGTCGACGTGCGAGGGACGCTACCAGTAAAACTAAGTAACATGATAGCCTGCCTTTCTACTTTTATTGTGTTAGCAATTAAATGGATACTTTCCGCCTGCTCTTTGCTGTCACCGTCGTGCCCAACATATATATATATATATATATATATATATATATATATATATATATATATATATATATATATATATATATATATATATAAACTCCCCCCATACATCCCTATACAAGACAGCCGACATGGCACATATACTTTGGGGGTGTGAGACAGTGTTCACCGCCACTACTCAGACAATCGTGAGTGTTGTACCCAGGACGACTGGCTGAGCGGTGGCGAGCCGCCCTTCTTAGCCCACGTGCAGTGGACCAAATCTGGACTGTCCAGCGAGCCAGGTCTATCGCCGAAGACACCGCACGATGTTCCGCGGACGACAACTTCTGGAGGCCAAGCCCGGGCCTGTGATTCCTCGTTGGATCCTTAATAAAGCTTATTACCTACCTACCTACAGCATTATGCTTTTTTTATTTATTGCAATGTTAATACGCATATACATGTGTTACACATCACCCACCAGCATGAGTAAAGCTGGCTGTATGTGCTTGTGAACGTTTAAATGATTAAATGTGTCTACATACAAAGCATTCCATCGCTTGCCTCTCAGTGCTTTTCTTTAAACTTCACACAAGCAAACTACCTGTAAAAATATGGCTTGAACAACGTGGTATGTTTGTGCCGTGGGGAGTGAACTATCTTCTGTGTAACAAAGCAAAAACTGCGGCACATGTTTTTTTTCTTGATTGTTGGGATGTTGTGTTCTATTGGGATGTCCTACAGAGAACATTGAAAAAGCGACTACCAATTCACGCCTACAGTACTCGTTTTCTGCCTGTTCAAGGAAACAGTGTCCCCTATGACCTCTTCAAGCCTTTAGGTCTTCATGGCATATGGAGGTTACGTCTGGGTATACGAAATGCTGAGCCCCAAGCGCGATCAGCTGACGCCTATTTTGTTGAACAGGTCACGAAGCTCAGCCACGGCAGCACACGTCCTGCAGCATACAAACAGCGAGCTGTATAAGTACACTATTTACCGCTAGCGATGCGCCGAATCCGAGGGAATATAAGCGTGTTCTCTGTCTTACCAGCGAACCAGCGAGATGGCGCGAAATTCGCGCATGGAGCCCCACTCGTCGCGATGCGTTGACTCGTAACCTGCACTTTGCTGAACGGTACGTAGTCGTCCGTGCCCGTGCGCTTATCGTCTGGCGGGGACAGTTTGCATACGTTGTGTGTGCTTTCGCCAGAAACGATGCATTTAGGCTACAGAGTGCGCAAAGGTCCCTTCGCTCACTATATACAGTGTTACTGCAGCGAGAAACAAAGTGCGCTGTTCAGACACGGTGAATTAACAAGTGTGACACTTGTTCACGCTCGTCCTGTGTATACCTGTGCGTATGTTTTGTGTGTCCTTTCTGTTTGAGAAGCACGTCAAGTATTGAGCTGTAAACTTTGGTAGTTCGCGCTTGTCCGGTGTCCATTTCTTCCGTACGTCCTTTCTGCTTGGGCAGCGCTGGGCAGCGCGCTCTAAATTTCCATATCCTTGCCATTTTTCGCATGACGGCCCCATTTGTAGCTGTCGCATTCGTTGCTACACCTTTGCGGCGAAAGTGAGTTTTTTGTTTTGTTTTTCATCATTGCGGTGATAGATAGGAAAGAAAAACGAAGGAATGGAGAGGAAGACACCAAAATTGTGTGCGCTTATACGTAGGCCTATGTATACACACACGCCTCACACTTTCTGTCGCATCAAGACGAAGCATAAACACTGTAGTCTCATGTTAAATCTGGCGCTAAGTGAAGCATATTCAGGAATTGCCTCTAACATGGAGAACAGCATATGCGACTCCAGGACTGGTTCAACACCGTCGGCAGCGACTTCTCCCACCGAGCAAGCTACTCGAGCTACGGCCATGATCCGAAAGACTAGAGGCTTGGCTTGTGTGCTCGCCACAATTTTGGTAAAGTGAAGATTGTGTTTAATCAAATGTTCGACAATTTAGAGTATGTATACCCTAAGGTTAGAGAGCAATAAGTTGTGTTTAGAAAAGCTGTGAACGACTTCGAGTACTTGGTACTCTACTATGGGAGAGTATAAAGTCGTCCCATGGCACTCCCACTTGATGAGGCCATGGAGAGGAATGTTTAGAAAAAATTTATTTACAGCATGTACAGAACACAAAGGCTTCATACCATTCCAGTAACAGGGCATATACACTTCGGCACATCTATATTTCACTACTAACATCACTACGTTACAGTGAAGACATTTGCTCTAATATACATGACAATGTTGGCATATATGTACACAAGAACTCAATGCAATATCATGATACAATGGTATAACGATACAATAGATGCAATGAAACACGATATGTAACAAATGAAATCATATAAAGCCACGAATCTGCGGGTGATGTTCAACGGCCCTTAAGAAGGGTTCTAATGCAAGGATAAATAACACTGGGGAGAGGAGACACCCTTGACGGACCCCACGCGTGACTCTAAATGCGTGACTCTCACGGGAATCTAAGTAAAGGGTACTTACTGAATTAGTGAACATCGCGTAGATGAGGTCAATGAACTTATCCGGGAATCCGTATGCATGTAAAACATCTAGTATGTAGCCATGTTCTATGAAATCAAAAGCTTTCTCTTGATCTAATGAAACCAACAGTCCTTGCGCACATCGGCTAGTGGTGTATTGAATGATGTCACGCGTTGACCGCCTATGGGTGTGTATTTCTCGGCCCGGAACAGAACAGACCTGGTGGGGAGCAATTATTGCTGAAAGAAATTGACTAATTCGGCGCACCAATATGTTGGCCAAGAGCTTGTAATCTACATTGAGCAGGGTAATAGGGCGCCAATCTTCTGGTCGCGTGGACATTGGGTCTTTCTTGGGAACTAGTGTTATACGGCCTTTGTGGAAAGAGGTTGGAAGTGTAATATCTTGGAAACACTTGCGAGTGACGCGTGACATAGTTGGACCAATGATAGGCCAGAACTGTACATAAAACTCTGCGAGGAGTCCGTCAGGCCCTGCGGCCGATCCCTTTTTCATTGCGTCTTATGCGCCCTTGATTTCATCATCGGATGGCGGTGATAGCAGGACGTCATTTGACATGTTGGAATCATGAGGTAATTCTTTTAGCAGAGGATGCGAAGAAACGGATCCTGGGTAACAGACATTAGCACCAGATTGAGCTATCGACTGAAAGTGTTGTGTGAATTCCTGAAAGTCGCGCGTAGCCGCAGCGGCTGGGGCGGTAGAGTTCAGCGAGTGGGCAGGCGAGCCTGGTGGACAAAGCAGAGCTCTTCGTGCATACCTTAGCACCTCAGGGTGCGCACACGGTGCACGTCTACAGCGCCAAGCTGCAGCCAAGAGTGAAGAAGCGCGCATAATACGTTGGTACCATTCAACGAGCTCCTCTTGCCATGCCCTCATTACAGTGGAAGGACTGAGATCTCGATTGGCAACAAAGAGAAGTTTATTGACTTCCAACCAAGGATAAAGTACACGACAAAAACATCGAGCTTCACGACTACAAAGGGTGCATGTACAATCAGGAAAGCACCACTACCGAGGTACAATGTATGTGGGGGAACGTACCCCTCTATTTACTGTACAGCGCGTGGTGCTCCAGCAGGCTTAATCATGCACGGTGGTAGGTCTTCTCAACACGCGGTTGGAACAAGTAGCGACTTAGCGCTGTACAACTCTAGGTATTATTACTTTTTTGTCGCCTGAAACAATGCTGCTTTCGTACACGGTAAGTGCATGCCCGGAAGTATAAAAGAGGTCTTGAGGCTGGGGGGGGGGGGCAGGGGGGGGGTACAAGGGAGTGGGGGGGGGTGTTGTCTCCCCCCAAATAAGGCATCAGCAACAATCTGCGCGTAAAAAAAAACTGACTGAAGGCGCCAATAAATGAAGAAGGCGCTATACAAAAAGTAACTCAAGTGTCGACCAGCACACTTGCCCGAATCTATTACAAATAACAACGACAATGGGTGATGAAATGAAAAAGGTGATACAGATATATATATATATATATATATATATATATATATATATATATATATATATATATATATATATATATATATATATACAAGTCCCCTTCTGCATGTGCTAGACCGCGGGAGGGGGGTCACCAGGTAGTGATTGGGGCGGCTAGCTTTCCATTCCTCAGAAAAAAGAATTTTGTATGCCAGCGACGAAGGAAGTTTTCCTCGCCGCTGGCCTCGAATTCGCCGGATAGGTGGGCCCATAGCAACCGCCGGATACGCGAGACTACCGGAAAAGCGCTCCGGACAGGCTTTCTACGCGCCTCCGCTAGCGATCTCCTTTGCCAAATAGCTAGCATCGTGAAGATCAGCACAAGTTGGCCGAAGGCACCTTTGTTGCGCTTGTGGTAAGGAGGTGGGCGGATACCAAAGGAGTGGGCTACCATCCGCCACACGGGTTTCACCGCCACGCATTGGAACAACGCGTGATCCTGCGATTCAACTGCGTGACAGTTCAGACAACGTGCATCCGGGACTATTCCAAATTTATGCAGGCGTTGTCTGGTGGGGAGGACGGCCCAGGCCTTTTTCAGGAGAAAATCCTGTGCATCACGGGGGGTGCCGCAACGGAGCGAGAGTAATTCGCGCTTCGCGCGCTCGGCTCGTTTTTGTTCAGTGTCGCTCAGCTGCTTCCGCGTGATGGCTTCAACGATGCGCGCTGGCTGGTCCTCATCCACATCGCCTTCGGGCACTTCTTGCCTCAACATGCGCCAGGTAGCCGACGCCGTTTTATAGAAGGGCGCGGGTGCCTCAGCAAAGGGCCCGGTGTGGCGGCCTGCATCCAGCGAGTCGTGCTTCACTCCACTCCAGTAGAGGAGTAGGTTGCGCCCTAGGTAATCGCTCGCACGCGCGAGCATGCGGGCGGTTTTCAGGGCCAGGACTCTGCTCGTGGTCAACACATGTGGTAGGCCGAGACCCCCTTCTGACACTGCCAGTTGTAGCAAGTTTTGCTTCAATGGTGGCGGTTTCCCATCCCAGAGGTATGCGTTAATGAGTTTGGTCAACTGGCTTGCTGTTCTTGTGGGCATCACCGCTACTCGGCTCGCATGCGAGGCTAGGGCGCAAATGCTTGTTTTGACGGCTACGGCTTTCTCGTATAGCGTCAGGCCTTGTAGGCTAGCGCTCTCTGACACTTGTGCAGCCCTGTCCACGACTCGGGACCACGTTGAGGCCGTAACTCCCTCGCTGGAAAAGTATATACCGAGGACCTTAACAGCGGTGACTACCTCGAAGTTGCCGATCACGTGCGCCGGGAAATGGCCGAATAGGAGGGCTTTACACTTCCTCGCATTTAGCGGTGCACCTGATGCTAGGGCGTATGACGCGAATACCTGGTGAAAGCGCTCGAGACTGCTTGGATCTCGCACAAAAAGGGAGATATCGTCAGCGTATGCGAGGACTTTCAGGTCCGCAGTTCCTGTGAGAGGAAGGCCCCGGATGTGCGCATCGCTTGCCAGGGATGTAAGTAGCGGCTCTATCGCGAGTACAAAGAGGGTTGGGCCAAGCGGGCACCCCTGCCTGATCCCTCTCGTGTACTGAAAGGTGTCCGTCGTGGAGCCATTTACTACTACGTGGCACCTGAGGTCTGAGTACAGGAGCCTTATCACCTGTACAAAGGTTGCCGGTAGGCCAAACTGTCGCAGGGTTTCGAACAGGTAGGTGTGCCTGACCCTATCGAAAGCCTTGGCCTGATCAAGTGAAAAAAAGGCTCCAGTGACTCTTTTCTCCGAAGCGTACTGGAACACGTCCCTTGTCGTGGTCAGGTTGGTGAACATTGATCTGACCGGGACAGCGCAAGCCTGGTGTGGAGCAATAATATCCGGCAGAAAGGTCTTTAGTCGGCTGTTCAAGATTGACGCCACGATCTTGTAGTCTACATTTAACAACGTGATCGGGCGCCAAGAAGCAGGGTCGTTCGGCGGTGCACCTTCTTTAAGAATGAGGACTACACGCCCCATGCCGAAGGAGGCAGGTTTCGCGTGTCCCTCGAGGACCGTGTTGACTATGGCTAGGAGCGGTTCACATAGGCTCTCGAAAAAGGTGGCGTAGAAGCCCGCTGTGAGGCCGTCCGCACCAGGAGCCGAGTTTGGTGGCATTGACTGGATAGCGGCCCTCAATTCTGGTAACGTCGCTGCGCCGCACATAGTCGGGCATTCATCCTCTTCCAGGCGCTTAATTGGCAATGCGTATCACAAAGGTTATGTGGATTTTCCTAGGTGTGAACGTGAAATTCCAACGCCCACGATCACCAAAAAATTTGACCCTCCTAAACGTACTGGCCAACTAAATATCTGTATGCACCGTTTTTCGACAACTAACGTTTTCCCAATAGTCGTTTTATCAGCGATCAGCTGCTTCTGATACGGCAAGCAGACCTTTTATTGACGTTATTAAAATGGCTTGTTGATTCACGTTCCCGAGTTTTATTGCTGCCTGGAACGTCTCACAATTATTGCAACTGAAGTGTTGCGACACACAGCACGTTGATGATGGTCCAATGCGCCCGAAAATGCGCCTTTTTTTTTTCATTTTCCCGTGCCGCCTTCTGCATTTTGGTAGGGGGCCGCAATTCTAGGTGAATATAGCCACGAGAAGTGACATTGCTTGAACGAAGGTCTCCGGGACCAGGAGTCGTAACGCTTCTTTGCCGCTAGGGAAGGACACATGCGCCGCGGCATCGTGGAACAGACGGATGAAAAGGCACAGAGGAAGGGAACCGTTTTTTTTTCTAATTAGAAAATATGCTTCTAGGCATAATAATTTTTATTCAAAAATAGACATACAAGTTTGCTTCATGTATAGAGTACAGTAGAAAACGGTGGTGTGGTCCACGAAGCCAGCGGTCAAAGTCGGGTGGTCAGCCAGGCCTGAGACCTGTTGCACGGAGGTGACGGTGACGACTCAATTGTAGACCAGTGGAGGTCTACAGTAAGTGTAAGGAAGTTAAATCCTGAATTGGGGCGTAACAAAATGGGCATGATGTGCCATACTGGCCTCGGTACTTTTGCGCTTCAAGGGTGGTCACGAATGCGGTAAGTGCAACCTCCGGAACGTGAACTCCTCGTGGTGGATTAAACCACCAGGGAAGTCTGATCCACACGTACGTATAAGAGCTCGGGTGGTACGTCGACGGCTTTTTTTTACCAGAGCACCTGTCCTTGAGTGTCTTCAGGAAAATGCGGTAGCGGGTGTGGTGTAACTTCAGTGTGGGTTACCAAATCAAATTTGACAGGGTCTGGCAAAGCGGCCCGTGGAACCAACTGAACACGTATTTGCACAGATGTGGAGGAAGCAAGAACGTGAATACTATTTTAGAGTACCGTAGAGTGATATCGTGAATAGCTTGCATTGAGTCCGTACGAAGGATCACCTGAGAACATCTGCCTGGTTGTAGAAGAGATAGCAGCGCTGCCAGTTCATCACGTATGGCGGCCACCTCAGCAAGGAGGTGCAGGATCCGCAAAATATGATCCTGTCTGGCAAGCCTCTGGTAATATTGGACATAAATGGCGGTATTATACAAGGGTGGTATAAACTTGGGAATTCGCCCGGCATGGAACCAGGCTGTAAAGGCGACCAAGAGGTTTGTTTTCAGTCAGTTGCATTTTGTTCTATATAGGGCAATAGAGCTCGTCTCTGAGGGTGTGTGGTGGACTTCTTTGCCCATGTACCACGCTAATGCAGCAGCCGAACAGAACGTTGAAGCCTTGACGTTGCGCGCTCAGCGACGTTGATGTACTAATTGATCAATTGTGTTTAGTTGAGACTCCTGTTACAATGCTGTCAGTAGAGTAATGCGTGGCAGTTCAGCTATGACGCGCATGGGTCCGTGGTTTATCGCCTCTAGACCTGCCCCCTCTGCCAGCGTGAAGTGATGAAACTGAGCGCGGCAAGCGAGCCTTGGCTGCAATATCCAACGGGCATGCAGGCGAGCCATGTTGGAGTTAGCACAACCAGATTTCTTCGCAATCCTTCGTATTAGGTGTAATGTATCTGATGCCTGTTCCTTGGCACTCTTGACCCAAGGTCCTGCAGATCCGGTGGCGGAAGGAAGCAGTGAGAAAAGAACATTGCGCTATGTGTAAAAAAGAAAAGAAAGAAAAAAAGACCAAAAGAGGGAAAGAAAGAAGGAAAACAGGAAAGAAGGAAAGAAAAAAGAAAAGAAAAATGGAAAGAAAAAACAAAGAAGGAAAAAAAGAAGAAAAAGGCAACATTGATTGATTGATTGATTGATTGATTGATTGATTGATTGATTGATTGATTGATTGATTGATTGTAGTTAAACGTCTCAAATTACCATATGATTATGAGAGATGCCGCAGTGAAGGCCTCCGGAAAAACGACTTCCTGGGGCTTGTTAACGTCGACCCAATTATGAGCACATGGGCCTACATCATTTTCGCCTCCGTCTAAAATGCAGCCGCCGTAGGCTGACCTCGTCTGAAATAGTACTGGTCTTCTCTATTTTCTTTTTTCTGGGAGAAGATCCCGCGATCTGCGGGTCAGCAGCCGAGTACCTTACCCACTAGACCAGCATGGCGGGGTTTAAGAAAGAAGAAAAGAAAGGAAGATATGGAGATACGGGATGATATGGAGTGAAGCGGAGTGAAAAGAAAGAAAGAAAGAAAGAAAGAAAGGAAGAAAGAAAGAAAGAAAGAAAGAAAGAAAGAAAGAAAGAAAGAAAGAAAGAAAGAAAGAAAGAAAGAAAGAAAGAAAGAAAGAAAGAAAGAAAGAAAGAAAGAAAGGAAGAAGTCCGTGAGGAACGCACACGCTGGTTTTTTAGCGGACACAAGACTAACAAACTGTTTATACCTGAGCGTACATAAGCCAAAAGATTGTTTTAATTGGTCATACGTACATGCTTACGTGTGTAGCATGTATTGTACTCTACAAATGCAATAACTTCCATTCTACCAATCTCATCCCCAACTGTATTCTTTTAGCATTATTCTGAGCGTCACTTCTCAATATAAGCTCTCAGAATTTGCGGAAAAAATAAAAGCAAGTCAGACCAACCGTTCTCATGAGCGTTCTTCGCCGTCTCCGAATGGCGTAATCACGATATCAGGTAGATTAAGGTGCAGAGATGGGATTCAACTTAACGTGGCGATTCGGGCGAATCGTGAGCGTTCTGCCGTGATGGCGATAAGAGCGAAAAGCCACCAACTCTTGGTTCTCCTGCACTTAAGTTCGTGTGTCAACGTCACGTGATGCGGAAGTTAACCTCAGCTAAATCTCTCGCTTTCATTGTTTGGATGCAAAACTGCAACATCCTATTCGGTTGCCCATGCCCGTTTGGTGATATGGTGGAGCGCTGGGGGAATTAAACAAGCGGACTCACAACGACGTAAGTCACAGAATTTCGGTGCCACGACAACGGATGCATGCGATAGTGTCTTTGTTTTATTTTCTTTATTTTTTTTTTCGCTTCTTCTTTCTCGCTCGCGCAGTCACAGAGAAACTAATGACGCGCAATGGAAGAGCGCGCGAAGCAGTGGCACTTTGTTCAGATGGCCATGCACAAAAAAAGGACAGACGGAAGCCAAGAAATCGCCGCTCTCTTTCGGGCAATTACGACGCGGCTACTGCTGCTGCTGTTGCTGCTACTGCTGCTACTCCGGAAGCACACGCTCGACTCCCTCACCCCCGTCGATTCGAAATGGCGTTACACCGCACTTTTTTTTTTCTCTGTCTGTGCGAGAAAGCGTGCGCGGAGAATGAGCCACTTTCGTGTACGACGTCATTACCCGACGTTTTCTTCCAGCGAGAAAGGGATACCGCTCGGCCGGGACAGCGCAGTGCAAGGAAAATTGGGCCGCGACGAGTTCTCCTCGCGAGGGTGGCTCCTGTTCCCAGGCGAAAGCGATTTCTCGTACCACAAAACGGCCACTTCCGACCACATGTCGCTCGACGACGACCAAGGCACAGTTAAGCTACCCCCTTCGAAGTAATAACCGATCGTTATTAGGCGCTTTCCAGCGCTCTCGCAGTCTCTTCCATTCTTCGATGTTTCGCTAAACGGCCTGAGATAAAGGTTTCCGGGATGTTGTGGTCCAGAAAGGTGATGTAAATGTTATTAGTTTCGCTTTGTGCGGCGGTGCAGCCTTGTTTGAAGAGCTGCGCAAGCACGGCAGACACACCATGTCTTTTATTCTAAACATTCTTGAAGCCAAGTTGTTGTACTTTAAAAATATGCGACGCAATGCAAGATGCTAATAGTAGCATAGATATTAAGCCCTGCCCATTATAACAGACGCACGTGCAAAGACTGAAATTCGCATTGTTTTTAGCTAAACTAGCACACCGAAAACATTTGCGGTTGTGATTAAGCAAGCTGTTTCAGGGATAAGGAGGGGTTTTGCCTAGGTCCACTTCGCTCCTACGTCGCGCCCACTCACCGCAATCTTGTACTGTAACCGCCCATAATGAGTTACATGCACGGGATGGCTTTATGCTCTCCGATAGTAGAGTACCTAGTACTTAAATTGGCTTCCCACTTTTTCTGAAAACACAACGCCATGGCCTCGACAGGTAACGCTGTGTCTCGCGCTCGAAGTTCGTCGCTGCGGATCTCCGACTCGTGGAGCGTTAACTGCCGTTTCCGGAATTAGCCAAATCCCATCGAAAACTACTGCTGCTGTATATTTGGGGGGGGGGGGGCGCAGCTAACAGACATCTGAAGAAGTCACCGGTCTTTTCCATTGTGTGAGCAGGAGGGAAGGGGGGATGTCAGTACATTCATATCCTTACACTGAAATGTGAATGGGAAAGCTGGAGATCTAAATGGTAAGCCATAAAAGAGGACGAATTTCCCCGCTTTGCGACGGATGCTTAAGCTGAATGTGGCAAAGCCCTCTTCCCGAACATTCACACACTCCTCAAGATATTGGCAACCATCCCAGTGAGTACAGATACTACAAAACGCCACTTCTCGACACTGAAAATAGTTAAAACGTATTTGAGGGACCGGATGGTTGAGGAGCGGCTTGGTGGTCTGGCACTAATGTCCATTAACCGGATACAAGTCAGTGTCGACGAAGTTATCGCTGTGTTTAGGGAGAAACCACGACGCATTAAAATTGTAGCGTGAACCACTCGCTTCGACCAGACTACATATTCGTTTTTTTTTTTTTTTTTTTGCAAT